AGCTGCGCCCACAGAACAAGGAAAGAAATAGGCGCGTATCGCAGTTTTTACATAGGAACTGGGGCCATCGTACATCGTATTGCAACTCATTATGGCGGGAACTTCTGCGCATCCTTCCCGCAGCTCGGGTTCGGCCATTTTTAAACTGCGGGAACATTAACAGTTGATGTTGAGCCGCAGAGCTGTTTAAACGCCGGAGAATTGCAGTGTTATCTAACGGTTAATTAAAGCATATGTTTTTTATGAGGGGTACTCAGCGTTACGGAAATTATCGAAGGGGTACACATATGTCAAAAGTTTGGGAAACACTGGGCTAGACATGCCTAGTTCTCTTAGCCATTCCTGAAGTTTCGCCTCCAAACCCCTTATCATGTTTGTTGCTCGTCTCTGCACTCTTTCTAGGGTCTGAGCATCTTTTTTTTTTTTTTTTTTTTATCATGGTGACCAGAACTGGAAACAGTATTCCAAGTGTTCAGGTGTCTTCTTGTCTGCCCATGTCTGATCAATTTTTATTCCATTCTGCCTAAGGAAGTCACTTGACTGTCCAGAAGCCCATGGCAATTTTGCTAAGATTCCTTCCTTCCAAGACTATTTGGGAGCTGTTGCCGCCATCACTGTAGTTCTTTGAAAACATTCTGCCACGTGCAAATGTGTGATTCTGGATGATTTTCTTCAATAAACAAATGAACAAGTATAATATTTTTGACTCATTTGTTTAATTGATTCTCTTTAGTTTTAGTATGTTTGTGGAAAACAGGTCATACTTTAGGTCATATTTATGCAGGAATATTGAAAATTCAAATAAGTTCATAAACCTAAAAAACACTATATTTGTTAACAACATTCACACTATTAATAACTTGAAACATTTTAATCATAGTTTAATCATAGAATCATAACTCTTGATTGTGTGTGTTAAATGGTGAGGCGTTTCTCTATAAATATTAAGTACAATCTTCTAAGATTTGATTGATAATTTTCAGTTGTAGACTATGATAAAAGTATATGGTCTTTGATTGGATTAAGGTATTATTCAATAATAATTGTTTCTCTCAGTGGACATGACTTTCCATTTGTATTAATTTATATTAATGCAAACTATAGCAGTATTTATAATCTAGATACAGTAATTTTATTTGCCAAATTTGTAAGGCTGTCCAGTTCCATAAAAATTGAGGAATTAAAGTTTTAATTTTCTGCATGTCCCAGGAGAAAACTGTCAAAAACTGTTAGCTTTTGAAACTTAGCAGTAATTCCTATGGCCTTACTTCTCACTGAACTTCCTCCAGATGTGCTGGTAAGAATGAACCAGTTCTTGAGTTGTAAGTCATCTGGGCTGATTTAAACAAAATTTGAACACAATATAGAAGTGTTATTAAAGAAATGTATGCTTATATACAAATCTGAAAAAATAAAAATTATAATAAATGGGAATGGAATGTGCAAATGAAAACCTGTTTGTTTTAATGAGTTTAACTATGGCCTTCTCAGTTTCAATCCAAAGGAAAGAATTCTGATTTTATTTTTATCCTCCCCCTCTTCCCAAAACTGCTTACAGAAGTATGTGAGACAGAAACAAGGAAATACGATGTTCTGAAGTTGACTGGTTGAAACCACTTGAATTAATGTGACAGCTCATTAAATAGAACAGTTTTTAGGTGGACTCTGTTTTAGTTTGCCAAAGTGATTTTTCTTGCAGGAAGTAGCCTGAAGGTTTATTTTAATTTCCAGACTGTGGCTTTGATCTCTCTGTTCAGTCACTTCTCAGGTTACATGGCCATTTTTTGTTCACTGTAGTAAATCAGCCACAGTTAAATGGAATAAAATTTCTTCCTTAGTGATCACTTGTTGTTAAATGCCAAGTTATGGCCAGAAGAATCCTTGGAGAGCTCCATATGGTAACAAGAGGGAAATTTGATTTAATCATCTTGTCTTTCAAAAATTTTATTACCGCATATACTCGAGTATAGGCCGACCCGAATATAAGCCGAGGCACCTAATTTTACCACAAAAAACTGGAAAAGTTATTGACACCCTAAGCCTAGGGTGGGAAATGCAGCAGCTACCGGTAAATTTCAAAAATAAAAATAGATACCAATAATGTTTTTGAATATTTATTTCAAAGAAAAA